TGTAGTGCTCAGTAGGACTCACACTCTGGTTTTTCAGTTCTTGTACACGAGTCTGCTGGGGGTTGCACCCGCTTAACTGTGGTACTCCTGCACATTTTGGCAGTGGTATTCACCAGGGCTCATGCATTTCCAATTTCTCAGCAAAGGCTGCTCACTTTCATTATTGTGCTCACACACACAATAATGTGGCTTAGCACTGAAGATCCCACATTTTTTATGTTGTGGTGCTGGGATCTGAAGCCGTTTTGGTTGCTCTTGGCAGGGGGCAGGGGTGGTGGGGGGGTTGGTATGCTGGGAATCGAACAGACCTTACAAGTATAAGGCATGCTCCATATCTGAGTATACTTTGCAGTATGCTTTGTTTTCTAGACATTTCTCTTGGGTTGGTTAGTTTCGTTTTATTCAATTTTGTTCATCATCCATTTCTTCTTTTATGATAGTTCTCTTTGCACTGGTGAGCATATTAATGATATCTATAACTGTTTTAAGCTCCTTTCTAGCTATTATTCCATTATTTTTCTTTCTCCTTGTTATAGGTGTAACTTTTTTCTACTACTTTGAATGCCGAGTACTTTTTCGTTGAATTCCTGACATCATAAATTGAAATTTGTCCAATGCATATTATCCTATTTTTTAAGAGTATCACATGTGGGTCCAGAACAAAAGTACAGCAGGTAGCACATTTGCCTTGCAGAGGTTAGATCTCCGGCATCCCATAGGGTCCCCCAAGTATCACCAAGAGTGATTCCTGAGTAGAGAACCAGAAGCAACCCCTAAGCACTGCCAGGTGCTGCGCCCCCAAAACTAAACTGAAATACCAAATGTGCTCATCGTGTTTAGTTGCTGGTTATGACCCTGGATACTTCGGGGGCTTCTTTTCATCAACTGTATTAGTCTAGGTCTGGCATAGCCCTTAATCTCGATCTAATTTAGCCTGGCAAGCTCCCCGTGGCGTATTCAATATGCCAAACAACGGTAACACTAATGGGTCTCATTCCCCTGACCCTGAAAGAGCCTCTAATATGGCAGCGTTGGGAAAGATGAGTAAGAAGAGGCTGCTAAAATCTCAGGGCTGGGAGGAATGGAGACGTTACTGGTGCCCGCTTGAGCACATTGATGAACAACGGGATGACAGTGACAGGAAGAGATCTCCACCCAGTGCTTCCACATGGAGGTCTCTGTGTAGGTAGAGAAGAAACAGATTGTTCCTGCCACACGGGATCCCTGAGGTGTGCCCGCCGCTTGCTTTCTGCTGGCGCTTTCCCCCATTTGAGGAGTTTCACTCTGATAGAGCAGCTCAGTGTTCAGCCACCTGGGGGGGTGGGGGGCAGGGCACCCCACAAACATGTGGACATTCCTCCCCAGTGTACTTTCCCCTTGAATCGTAGCTGCCTGCCTATAAATTTTGATCCACGCCCTTTCGAGCCATCAGGACCACCAGACTTGGTTCCAGCTCACAGTCCCTCTGCTGCCGCCTGGGAACGGCCTCCAGGCTCTCCGCCCACCCCATACAGGCTGGAGCAGCTGGGTGTCTTCCCAGGCCGGCGGTCATAGAGGGCATGATCTGCAGTCTGCAGTTGTATCTGCTAGATCATGGCCCTGTCAGCCCCCTCCCCACCAATGGACAGAAGTGAAGTCCTCCCCACCCCCATCTGGATGCAGATGCTTGTCATGATTGGGCTCAGCATTGTACAGTGTTTCTTTTCATTGAATCACAGTGAGATACACAGTTACAAAGTTGCCCATGATTGAGTTTCAGTCATACAATGTTCCAACACCCATCCCTCCACTAGAGTACATTTCCCACCACCAATGTCCCCGGTTTCCCTTCCATCACCTCCCACCCACCCCCAGCCTGCCTCTATGGCAGGAACTTCTCCCCTGCCTCCTCCCCGGCCACTTCTCTGTTCTCCTTTCTCTCCCCTTTGCCTCTCTTTCTCTCTCTCTCTCTCTCTCTCTCTCTCTCTCTCTCTCTCTCTCTCTCTCTCTCTCTTCTGGGCATTATGGTTTGCCATACAGGTACTGAAAGGTTATCATGTTTATCCCTTTACCACCTTTCTTTTTTTTTTTCACATTCAATATTTATTTATTTATTTATTGAATCACTGTGGGAAAGGTTACAAAGCTTTCAGGTTTAGGTCTCAGTCATGCAAATATCAAACACATTTCCCTTTACCAATACTTATTTTTTACCATGAAGAACCCCAATAAAACCCCATCCCCCACCCCTCCCGGTCCCTTTGAGGCAGATGAATTCTAGTTAACACTCTATCTGCTTTGATTAGATTCATTGTTTCAATAAAAGATTCACCACTATTATTTAGAGTTTACCCCCCCCCTCAAATCAGACATGCTGAAAAAGCATTGTGAAGTGATTTGCTTTCTACAGCTGGGTTCAAGAATTAAATGTTGGTTTTGGATTTCTGCTATTTTACCTATTGACCCTGGAAGTATTTCTACTGAAAGTCAGATAGTTAAGAAATTGGTTTCTGTGTTCTGGAGTCGTGGCCGTGCTGGAGAGCCGCTCGTGGGGGGCAACTGGTGGCCTCGGTAGGGCGTGAAGGACGGACCGGAACGCCCCCCTTCCCATGAGGTTTTAGTCGCCCCCACACCCCAGGCTCATACCTGCTGTCCACAAGGCTCCCATGTGGCTGCCATCTTTCTTTCCAGAGGGAGGAGGGCGGAAGGGAGCAACACCCTTTCCCCTCTGGGCAGATATGATTGCCTGGATTAACGCATAGTCCTTTCACTTTTCTGCTCCAAGCTGCTGGGTTCTGCATTAAGTCTTTGTGTTTCTGGGGCTGTGGCCGTGCTCCAAACTTAGCTCTGATTTTCAGGGAGAAAGGTTGGGTGGTTTACTTCCCATTGATCACTTTGTATATAGAGAGATGTTGCGCGGCCGCATAAGTGGCCGCACGGTTTTGAGAAAAAGTCCTAGTTCCCGCATATTCGAGCTGTGCTTGTAGAGGCTTCTGGTCACCGGGGTTCCATCTGGGGGAGGCGGGATGCAGTACCTACCCCATCTGGGACTTGCCGGTGATCTTGGCTCTTTTCGGAACCTGTTTTTTTTTTTTTTTTCCCCTCCGGGATCTGTGCATCCCGCCCTCCATGTGGTCCTTCTCCTCGGCTGTACGTTGTCCCTTTACCACCTTTCAACACTCAGTTTTCTTTTTTTTTTTTCTTTTTGGGTCATACCCAGCGATGCACAGGGGTTACTTCTGGCTCATGCACTCAGGAATTCCTCCTGGCGGTGCTCGAGGGACCATATGGGGTGCTGGGAATCGAACCCAGGTCAGCCGCATTCACAGCAAACATCCTGCTCACTGTGCTATCGCTCCAGCCCCACAACTCTCAGTTCTTCTCCAGAGGGATCATTCCCATCTATCATTGTGTTAGTGGCCCCTTCTCTGTCCTAGCTGCCCTCCCCCAACCACCATCACTTATGGCAAGCTTCTAACCACAGACCAGGCCTGCTGGCCCTTGATTCTACTGGCCCATGTACAGTATTCTTAAAATGCCAAAAGTCATGATTCGGACTTGCTGGTTCATGGTCTTTCCCATTTTCCCATTATTACATTCTGTATCACCAGCTTTCTGGTGCTTACATGTCCCTTCCAGTAATGTGCTTCCGAGTTTCATATCTCGCCTGGTAGGTGGAACAGAGAGATACTGGGAGAGTTTCTTCTAGGTGTGTAAGTGTGACCTCTGTGCCCCTCATCTGGTTCCTGAATTGAAGTGTGTATATCACCATTGCTCAGATGGTGACATGCTCCCAGCCAGTGACAGACCCCAGCCTCACAGCCAAACAGCGATAGACCCCAGCCTTGGCACTTGCATGTAGCCATGAAGCTGGTGTCTCTTCACCGGAAATGACTGTGGCCATTTGTCAGCACACTTAGAACGCACACAGAAAGGAGCGTATTGAAATGTCCAGGAAGGGACCAGAGCCAGGGGACAGCATGGAGGGTGCTTGCCTTGCAGGCAGCCATCCCAGATTTGATCCCCGGCATCATCCCATAGGGTTCCTCGAGCCCCACCAGGAGTGTTCCCAGAGCACAGAGCCAGGAGTAAGCCCTGAGTACACTGCCGGGTATGTCCCCCAAAACTAACTAAATAAAATGCCACGGGTGACTATGAAGAGAGGCTAAGAGCATATTCCACTTCATTATATAGCTCATGCAACGGCATAAGGGCAAGTTAATAACAAGGGAAAGGGGGACCGGGAATGCCCAGCATGTCTAAGGCCCCAATTGCCCCAATTCCCAGGCACCACTGGGGGTGACCGCTGAGGGCCACTGGACCAAGCACTGAACAGTCGGGCCTAAACCCTTGGGCCGAGCATTGCAGGAAGCATCCACTGGATGCCACCCCTCTAGAGAACAGGAGACGTCTGGGAGACTCTTTCCCGGGGTCTGCCCCCCAGCATTGGAGCCCACACACACACACACTCCTTTCCTCTTCTTTGCGCTTCACTTTCTCGTCTGACTTGGCAGCACTGAGCATTTCCTGTGCCCTGTCATACTGGGCTGTGACTTGGTTTAGTTTCCATTAATTTTCTGGTTAGAAAAAAAAGAAAGCTGAAAGGATGAGCAGACTCCTTTTAATACATGCATGCCACCCTTGGAGTGTCACGATACCCCCTATCCCATGTCAGGGCAGGCGGAGGCTGCGATGCGGGAGTGCGGGCCCCCAGTCATACTCGGATCCCTGTTCCTCTGGGCAGCCCCTCAGCCCCGCTCTGGTGCTGTACCCTCTCTCTCACCAGCGCCGCCCACCCTGGTGCCACAGTCCCTGTGCTCCCTTGGTGTCTCCCCAGGATGTGATGAGCAAAATGAGACTCTCTTAGTAGGAGATCGGGGGTCTGAGGAAGAGTCTGAGTTCAAACCCAGGACGGAGCCCCTGGGGCTGCAGTGACTGGCCTGGCCCCACGTTGCCCTGGCTCTCATCCTGTGCTCCTCTGGCCCTCCGGGAGTCACGCGCTGTCCCCTCTGTTCCCACAGCAGACAACGAGAACAACATTGCGTCCAACCAGTCCCGATCGCCGCCCGCTGTCGTGGAGGATAAATGGAAACCCCAGGCTCAGAGGAATAGCGCCAACAACAGTAGGTTGCCCCCAAACCCCAGCCTCAGGGCCGCCTGTGCTCTGAATGTTCTACCCACCACCTCCCTCCACCATTGCAGACACACACCTGTGAGCACACATACACGCACACGCAAACACACACACACACACAGACACACACACACATACACACACACACACACGGTGCAAAACCATGCACTACGGTTCCCAGAACACTTCCCTGAGATCTGTTGGTGGGACTTGGGGCCTCTCAGGCTAGGACAGTGAGACTCAGGAGAGGCTGCAGCATCCTGTGGGCACAGGAGCGAAAGCCAATAAATTCCTTCCTCATTACAGGCCCATGCCATGGCGTCCCCATTCTTAGTGGCAGCTCCAAGACAGAGGAAGGGCTTGGGCCAGCGGGCCTCAGGGGCCCGAGTGAAGGGCACGTGGCAGCAGCTCATGTGTGTCACACACGCCAGATCGTAGCTGTTGTGCCCACACCCTACTCCGGCAGGCAGGACTCACCCACCCCACAGTCCTTTCCCTGCGTGTGTGCGAGATGAAATCCTGGTTCCCAAGCGGGAGGTGCCCGCGGCCCGGAAGGCTCACGCACGCTGTCTCTCTCTCCGTGTCCCCCTCTCCCTTCCCTCCCCCCCCCCCCGCCAGCCACCACGGGCGGTCTGCCCCCCAACAGCATGATCCCCGAGAAGGAGCGCCAGAACATCGCCGAGCGCCTGCTGCGGGTGATGTGCGCCGACCTGGGCGCCCTGAGCGTGGTGAGCGGCAAAGAGTTCCTGAAGCTGGCCCAGACGCTGGTGGACAGCGGCGCCCGCTACGGCGCCTTCTCGGTCACCGAGATCCTGGGCAACTTCAACACGCTGGCCCTGAAGCACCTGCCTCGCATGTACAACCAGGTGAAGGTGAAGGTGACGTGCGCCCTGGGCAGCAACGCCTGCCTGGGCATCGGCGTCACCTGCCACTCGCAGAGCGTGGGGCCCGACTCCTGCTACATCCTCACGGCCTACCAGGCCGAGGGCAACCACATCAAGAGCTACGTGCTGGGCGTGAAGGGCGCCGACATCCGCGACAGCGGCGACCTGGTGCACCACTGGGTGCAGAACGTGCTGTCGGAGTTCGTGATGTCGGAGATCAGGACGGTGTACGTGACCGACTGCCGCGTGAGCACGTCCGCCTTCTCCAAGGCGGGCATGTGCCTGCGCTGCTCGGCCTGTGCCTTGAACTCGGTGGTGCAGAGCGTGCTGAGCAAGCGGACGCTGCAGGCCCGCAGCATGCACGAGGTCATCGAGCTGCTCAACGTCTGCGAGGACCTGGCGGGCTCCACGGGCCTGGCCAAGGAGACCTTCGGCTCCCTGGAGGAGACCTCGCCGCCCCCCTGCTGGAACTCGGTGACGGACTCGCTGCTGCTGGTGCACGAACGCTACGAGCAGATCTGCGAGTTCTACAGCCGCGCCAAGAAGATGAACCTCATCCAGAGCCTCAACAAGCACCTCCTCAGCAACCTGGCAGCCATCCTGACGCCCGTGAAGCAGGCGGTCATCGAGCTGAGCAACGAGAGCCAGCCCACGCTGCAGCTGGTGCTGCCCACCTACGTCCGGCTGGAGAAGCTCTTCACGGCCAAGGCCAATGACGCGGGCACCGTCAGCAAACTCTGCCACCTCTTCCTGGAGGCGCTCAAGGAGAACTTCAAGGTGCACCCGGCGCACAAGGTGGCCATGATCCTGGACCCCCAGCAGAAGCTGCGGCCCGTGCCCCCGTACCAGCACGAGGAGATCATCGGCAAGGTGTGCGAGCTCATCAACGAGGTGAAGGAGTCCTGGAACGAGGAGCCCGACTTCGAGCCCGCCGCCAAGAAGCCACGCTCGGCTTCGTGCGGGGAGAACCCAGCAGCTCAGGAAGACGACCGGCTGGGGAAGAACGAGGTGTACGACTACCTGCAGGAGCCCCTCTTCCAGGCCACCCCCGATCTCTTCCAGTACTGGTCGTGCGTGACCCAAAAGCACACGAAACTCGCCAAGCTCGCCTTCTGGCTGCTGGCCGTGCCAGCCGTCGGGGCCCGGAGCGGGTGTGTAAATATGTGTGAACAAGCCCTCCTCATCAAGAGGAGACGACTCCTCAGCCCGGAAGATATGAACAAACTCATGTTTCTGAAATCCAACATGCTTTAAGACTTGGGAACGGAAGGGAGTCAAAGAGAAAAGAGCGAACGAGCGAGAGAGATGAAAACGTTAGGGGAAAATGGAAAAAAAAAGACAAAAATTCAACACTGTCGCAAACCAAGAAAGGAATTTTAAGTTCTAAACACTGTGGACCTCATTATAAATTCCCCCCCTGGAAACTTAAGTGCTTTTTTTCAGTGCGTGCGTGCGTGTGTGTGTGTGCGTGTGTGTGTGTGTGTGTGTGTGTGTTTCTGTGTATGTGTCTGCACGTGTGTGCGTGCGCGTGCACACATCCTGACACGAGCGCCCGGGCAGCTGGATGGATTCTGAGCCCGTCCACGAGTGCACGCTCCCAGGCCACGGTTTGTGCTCGCACGCACCCTGCATACGCGTGCACGCACACGCACGTGTGCACGCACACACATACATACACACACACACACTTCCTCCCCGGTGCGTGTGCACGTTCCCTCTCACAGGTGCACGTGTGCATTCGGCTGGGGGTGTCAGGAAAATGAGTGTTTGGGAAAGAGGGAAGACACTTCACCTCCGTTTCTCAGAAGGGGACTTTAAAAGACTGTTTCAGGTGTGCAGATTGGTAGAGAGCCGGAGTCGTAAGATGTTCAGGCAGCTGCGATCTGAAGTGACTTGATCTCCTTCCTCTGTCCTTGGCCCCGGACCCCTCCCCACCCCATCCCGACCTGACCATCCCCCACCCCCCACGGTCCCACAGTCCGGGCTGCTCTGCCAAGGATTCTCCAGACCGCATCCGACGGACAGTCCCTGCACTGGACTTTGTTCTCGTTCACCTTCAGGGCATGGAGCTGCTGCCCCACCCCCAACACCTCTGGGGTCCCCAGGGGGCAGCCGCCTTAGAAACACCCTTTCTATCTCCCCCACCAGGACAGGAGACTCTGAAAGCATAAAGCCGACTTTTTGCTTTTTACTCTAAGAGAGAAAAAGACCTTTTCCCCCGCCACCAGAAGTCATATTATAGCTAGTGTCTCCATCCTCTTCCCCCCCCTTATCGTGTTCACAGCTTTTTATCCTTTTTCGGTTTTCCAATCTGATTGAGACTCTGCGATGAGGCACTGAATGTCTGTAACTTATGGTTTGGAGTTTGTTTGGGTTTCGTTGCATTTTGTTTTGGGTTTTTTTTTTTTTGGTTTTGTTTGTTTGTTTGTTTGGGAATCGCCCCGTTTTGTTCCTCAAGCCACACTGTAAACTCGCTCATCTCAGCGGCATGTCTAGTGCCCCCCCCCCCCCCCCCACGGTTTGGATCCCTGCTCAGTTCCGTGTTGCTGTGTCCCAGAACCAAGATCATGTGACCTTGGCTGTGCAGGTGGGAGCCCGGGAGAGGGGAGGGGTGGAGTCACAGGTCCCCCCTCCCCTACCCCCACCCCAGGCTGGGTGGGTCGAAGCCTGCAGAAGCACTTGGCTTTGGGGCAGCCTGAATGTAAGCTGGCGCCCACCCACCTGGCCCGCTGAGTCTGGCACCTCGAATGTCTGACTTCTAAACCCAGAGTGCATTACCCTGCTCACACATCAAGGCCATCACCGCCCCCAGCCCCACCCTTGGTCTGCCCTCCCTCCTTCCCCAGGACCCCAGGGTCCCGCTGGTTCCGTTGCCCCTGTTATTGACTGCCCTGGGCGTCCTCCACCCCTTCGCCCAAGCCTCTGCCCTCCATCCAGGACAGCACTGAGCAGGGGTCCCTGTGCGGGATTGGATGTCTTGAGGCTGGGGTGGCGTTAGAACACACTGAAACGGGGTGCTGGGGAAGGTTCGGGAGGCTTCTCCTGCAGGCCGCCCCAGCTCTCCACACTCGGTCCAGATACAAGGAGGAGCGTGCCGGGTGCAGCTTTGCCCTCAGAAAAGGAGGTCCCATCCCTCCGCACCTCTCTGAGAGAAAGAAAGCGCCGGTGGTCCGGTCTCACCCCCTTCCACACACCCCCTCCCCATCCCCTCACCCTCACCCGCCGCGCCACAGTCAGGATGAAGAAGGCTGAGTACCTGCATCTTCGTGGGATGCTGTTGGCCTGCTCCGCCCCCTCCCGGTGAGAAGGCGACACTCATCTGCAACATACCTCGACAAGAAGCACTGTACAAGGAGCAGCGGGGACATGGGGCTGCCGAGGGCGTCGCGGATGTGAACACAGCCCTGGCCTGCTCCCTCTGCCTCGAGACAAGCATACCCAGGGCCCCCACCCGCTGCAGACTTGGACCCTGACATGCCACAAATGGCTCCTCTTCCCACCTTCTCCCCCGGCAAGCCCAGGTCTCAGGAGTCCCCTGCTGCCGCCCTGGAGGGGTGCTACACGTTTCCTCCGCGTCCACGCCGACAGCAGACTGGAAGAGCCACTACCGTTGGCCTGGGGGTGGGGAAGGGGAGCATCTGGACGGTCAGCTCCTGTTCCTTCCTCAGCAGTAAGGGAGCAGCAGAAAGGAACATTCCAGAAGGGGCCGGTGGTCAGTGATGTGCTGGCAGGGGAAGGTCTCTCCCACTTTGATGGCTTCTCGGAGGGGACCAGGAGTCAGCACTTGGAGTTAGCCTTGTGGCAGGCAATCGGTGTGCTGAGGGGGGTGCCCCTCACTCCCCTTGAATGCCGCGCTGTGCCCTTGTTGGGCTGATGGATTTGAACATGACACCGGCCGGGGCATGCGGGATATTCCGCTTGCGTCACTTCCTGTTCTGCTCTTCAACCTCGGGGCATGGACACCGACCAGACCGTCTCTGGGGTTGGAGCAAGGACAAAGATTTGGGGGGTGGAGGGGGAGGGAGGTGCTGCCTGCCTCATCCAGATAGGGCAGCAAGAAGGTAGGGCAGCTAATCGCTTCTCTCTCTGGGTCCCCAGAAACTGACCTCACCAACAGGAAAGGCCGTACCACAACCCCCTTCCTCCCAGGCACCCCTTCCCGTGTAAAGTCTGCGCTACGGAAACAGCGTAATAAAACCCAAAGATCTCCTAGGTCCAGCCACTGGCCCCCTTACTTCCAGCAATATCCACCTCATCCAAATTCTAGTTCAGCCAAAGGATGGAGAAAGGCTCTCCTGGTGTGTCCCCCCTGCACCCAGCCCTGACCTTCGTATGACCTTCAGGGGCGGTGGGTTGTTTTGTTAGTTTTTTTTTTTTTCTTTAAACTGTCTTCCTCCCGTCTCTGTGACCATTACGGGGACTTTTCACCTCAAGCCCTTGGGATCTGAGGGGCTGGAAAGTTGGGTCATTTCTGTGCTGTCCTTAGCATCACCCTCCCGACCTTGTCTTTGCTACAGCTCACTCAAGCCATGTGCTCCGCAGTCCTCAGTGGGCTTGGTTCTGACTCGCCTCCTTCTCCCCCCGGGCATGCGGGGCTCTTTCTTTCCCCCCAGAGTTTTACGTCAGGCTGACCCCTCGGATAGGAAGTGTGGGAGATGGGTGGGGGAGGGGGCCTCAGCTCCACCCCCCCCCCCCCACAGCTGCAATGTGGGTCCCTGTCTTCCTCAGCCATGCCCTGCACCATCACGGTCCTCTCCGGACCTCCAACCTCACTGCCGCTGTCCTACAGTGCCAGGAAGCAAGGACCAGGAAGCTTTGGTCACCCGCGCTTCCTCTCGGGGGATTTATGGCACAAAACAGCCCTCCTCCACCTTCTCCACCTCCTCTTTTTCCTCCTCCTCCTCTTTCTCCTCCTCCTCTTTCTTCTCTTTGTCCTCCTCCTCCTTCTCTTCCTCTTCCTCCTCCTCCTCCTTCTCTACCTCTTCCTCCTCCTCCTCTTTTTCTTCCTCCTCTTTCTCCCTCTTCTCCTTCTCCTCTTTCTTCTCCTTGTCCTCCTTTTCCTTCTCCTCCTCCTCCTCCTCCTCTTCCTCCTCTTCCTCCTCCTCTTTTTTCCTCCTCTTCCTCTTTCTCCTGGGCTGGAGCGATAGCACAGCGGTAGGGTGTTTGCCTTGCACGCAGCTGGCCTGACCGAGCCGGGTTCAATTCCTCCGCCCCTCTCGGAGAGCCCGGCAAGCTACCGAGAGTATCTCGCCTGCACGGCAGAGCCTGGCAAGCTCCCCGTGACGTATTCGATATGCCAAACGCAGTAACAAGTCTCACAATGTTACTTGGGCCCGCTCGAGCAAATCGATGAACAACGGGAGGACTGTGACCGTGACCTCCTCCTCCTCCTCCTCTTCCTCCTCCTCCTCCTCCTCCTCCTCCTCCTCCTCTTCCTCCTCTTCCTCCTCCTTCTCCTCCTCCTCCTTCTCCTCCTCCTCCTCCTCCTCCAGGGAGGCTGCTTCCTATCAACCCACCTGGCAGCATCCCGTTCAACTTCGGAGGTGCAGAGCAAGAGAATTGCAGAGCCCTGGTGAGGAGGGGACAGTCCGTGACAAGGCTGCAAAGGGACAGGTCCCTCAGGAAGTCTGCTTACACACCCTGCCGGCGCACTCCTTGCTCTCCTGAACTCCCAAGAAACACCCGAGGAAAAACTCTGGAGGGCGTGTTCTCCACTGTGATGGCCACAACCGCTGCCTTCTGGGGCGCCCTGAGCTCCCACCCAACCACCTGCTTCAGCCCAGACTCAGGCTTCTTCACGTGTGGGCGCCTGGAGAGAATGTCAGGGGGGGCCAGCACACTTCCTCCAGGAAGCCCCCACACCCCTGACCCACCAAGAAGGATGGGAGTGAAGCTAGGGAGCACACAGAAAGCAGGTCCCCAGCAGACGGCCCGGCAGGGGCCAGGACTTGGGTACGAGCTGGCCGAGGCAGGCAAGAGGGCATGTTCCGGGTGCTGGGGCAGCTGCCCCTGGCCTGCCGAGCTGGACGGAACTGCATCCGGAGCTGCCTCGGGGACGGCAGCTACACCTGTGCCCCCCCCCCCCCGCCCCCGGCGAGATGTCATCAGTTGGAGGACTGTTGGTTTCGATGGAACCCAAAGGCTCAGTGAGGCTCCGTCTGCCTCCCCCACCCCGCCGCACCCCTCCCCCGAGGACGGCAAGTGGGGGCCATCCCTGTCGGGGCAGCGGGGCGGCTGGGAAGGGGCTGCCCCCTCTTCACTGTGGCTCTGTGTGCTAGGCCAGTTATGGTGAACCAATGATAACATGCTTTCCCTCCTCCGTGCCCCTCCGTCTGACCCCCTCCGACACGTCAGGGTTTTCAGGAAGATTTCGTTCATCTTCCTCTCTTTCCTCCGGGCTCCAGAGGGGTGGCGGGCAGACACCTGCCTGCCTTTCCCCGCAGGAGGCCCACGGGATCTGCTCCAGGAGAGGCCCCTGGCCTGGC